CCCTCAGCAGCTCCAGCTCCAACCGTACCCGCAGGCCCAGCAGCTCCAGTACTCCCAGTACGAGCACCTCCGGGACCCGCAGTAGCCGCACCCTCAGCAGCCGAAGAACCTCCAGCTCCAGCAGCACGCCTCCAGCGCCGGGCAAACCACTCGCGCAGCTCCTGTGGAGAGAGTGGCTCCCTCCGAGACGAAGCACCCGGAGAACTTCCAGGCTCAGCACCGCCAGACGCCACACGAGCAAGCCCAGCTCCCTCAGGCTCCGCACCCCCGGGCTCAGCACCCCCAGGCGTAGCACCCCCAGGCTCAGCAACCCCAGGCTCAGCACCCCAGTGGTAGCACCCCCAGGCTCAGCACCCCCAGTAGTAGCACCCTCAGGCTCAGCACCCCCAGGCATAGCACCCACACGCTCAGCACCCCCAGAGTCAGCACCCCCAGGCTCAGTACCCTCAGCAGCACCAGAGTCACCAGTAACCTCGACAGGCTCGACTGCGTCTACCTGGGACACACCTGAAGGGGCAGGACCCTGAGGGGGGAGGGGGTCTACCGGGGGGGGACCTGGCACAAGGAAGAGGGGTGGTGGGGGGAGGGACGGAGTGCGGTAGGGGAAGAGGCGGTAGTAGGGGACCGACTCGTCAAACATGACGTCCTGGGAGGACAAAACACGGCGAGAGATGGGGTGGTAGAACTGCCACCCTGGAGCGTCAGGGTGGAAGCCAAGGAAGACGCAAGGAGCAGCACGAGGGGACAGCTTGTCCGCAGACAAGTCGCGGACAAACGCCCGAGATCCCCAAACACGGAACGCAGACGCATCGCCAACCTTCCCCGTCCACAGCAAAGCTGGGGAGGTCTCCGGCATGGAGACCCTGGGGTGAAGGTTGATCTGATGCGCCGCGTACCGAAGCGCAAACGGCCACAAAAAATGGGGGGCAGCCGCATGCATCATGGACGTACGGGCGACGTCCATGACCATGCCAATGCGGCGCTCAGCAATCCCATTTTGCTTTGGAGAGTCCGGAAGCGTGAAGGTCTGGCGGATGCCTCGTGCACGACAGTAGGCTCGCAGAAGGCCAGAGGAGAACTCTCCGCCTCTGTCAGAATGCAGACGCAGAACAGGAAAGTCCGAGCCGAAGCTCTGCCGGAGCTGGAGACGAGCTGCGCGGATCCAGTCGATCAACACCTCAGTGACATCCCCCTTGCTGCGCAAGGGGAAGACTGTGGTGTAACGCGAGTAGTTGTCAACCACCAGCAGGAACTAGCGCTCGTGACCCTGTCCACGGACGCGGGCGGGGCCCCACACGTCCATGTGAAGCGTTTGCAGCGGGGCCTCTGTCGGAGGAAACTGGGAGGAGTGAGGGGCACCCCGCTGGCGCCCCTCGACATAGGGGACGCAGGTAGGGCCAGGCCCCGGAGGAAGGGGAGGGAGGGACCGGGGAAGACCAGAGACAAGGACACGGGAGGCCATGCCTCGGAGACGAAGCAGGGAGGAGTGACCAAGGCGGTGGTGCAAGAGGAGAGTCTCATGAGACAGGAGGCGACACGAGCAGGGGGCAGACTCAGGACCAGACCTGGACGCTGCAGCAAACACCTGACCCGACGCAGCTACCTGACCAGACGCAGGGACAGGAGGAGACGCAGTGGTCAGTGTGTACAGGCTCGACTTCGGCCGTCAAGTAAACGTGGCCCGTCCGAGCATCCGTGCAGTGGGTCACCCACTGGCTCGCAGGAGTGAACTGGTGAACTCCCCCATCCTGAAGGTCAGCACCACTCACCAAGTTCGTAGAGAACGAGGGTAGGTAAAGACCAGACAAGGTGCCAGAGGGAGCCGCCGGACACTGGAGGACAGTGGAGAACTGAGCAAGGACAGGACCCCCCGAGGGGTCTGCCAGAGAGACTGCAACTGGCCGACCAAGCGGCGTGAGTGTGGTGCGGTCTCGAAAGAAGGAGCGAGAAGCCCCCGAGTCAAGGGTGAAGGTGAGGGAGGCCGAAGCCGACTTGGTACCTGAGAGCGCGGACTCACCAGCACCAAAGGAAGCAGACGCACTAGCACCTAGAGCAGCAGCCTCGCTAACACCTAGAGCAGCAGCCTCACCAGTACCTAGAGCAGCAGTCTCAATGCCCGGGTCGGGCGGGAAACACCGGTAACAGTCACCCTCATCACTATTAGTCACAGCATACATGGCAGCAAGAATAGCATCAAAGTCAAGGTCAAAGATAGCTACTCCCGCCCTAGACAGCTCACCCCAGCGGGGGATCTCCGTGGCCTCCGGGAACTGGTGACGCCAAGCGTCCGTCAAGCGGCCAAAGCAGCGCTAGGTGGAGTGCGCACCCGCGCGGTCGTTGGTGCGTAGGACGTAGGTGCGTAGGACCAGTACCCCCACCCCGCTAGCGTGCAGCATACCACTCACGGAGCTGCTGAGGGGGGGGGAATGTCACGAGTGCGCTGCTGCTGTTGCTGCTGCTGGCGCTGACCACCACCGGAGCCGACCCTCTACGCAACGCCACCCCGACGAGTTCCACCTCCTCCGCCACCGCCTCCTCCACCGCCGCCACCTCCGCCACCTCCGCTTCCACCGCCACCGCCGCCGCCTCCGCCTCCACTGCCGCCACCGACACCTCCACCCCCGCCACCACCCCCACCGCCACCCCGACTCCCTCCGCCGCCTCCACCGCCGCCTCCAACGCCCCCACTAGCTCCTCCAGCGCCCCTGCCCCCCTTGCCCTTGCCAGGGCGGCGTCTCCCGCTAGGGGTAGACGCCGCACCAACCGACTCAAGCCCAACGAGGTCGGCCGCAGCAGTAGAGGCAACAGAGGGCAAAAGGGGGGAGGGGGAACACCCCTCAAAGATGGGGGTGCGAGGGTCACCACGAGAGGCTCCTACAGCGACTATGCTCTTCTCCGCTGCTAGGAGGGCCTTCTTGAGGAGGTCAACGGTGAGAGTGGTGGGGCAAACTAAGAGGAAGTGGTCCCTGACTACGCGAAGGGAGTCAGGGAGGCGAGTGACGATGTAGTAGAGAGTGATGTACATGGGGGGGGGGGGGGGGGGGTTCTTGACACAGAACTTAGGAAGAAGCGCAGCGCGGTAGCGAGTGTCACTAGTGCGGAGGTGCGTAATGAGGTCAGCGACTATGGGAAAGGCAGCAAGGTCAGGGAAGAGGTATGGTAGCATGAGGCGGCTCAGTGCAGCAGTGGCAGGGGAGGAGTAGCGTGCAACTACAGCGTCGTACATGGTCTGAGCACTCTTGTACTGGCTAAAGTGCGCACGCTCAGAGGTAGGCAGGTGGCGACGCACAGCAAGACGTGCAGCAGCATCGCGAGTGGCCCACTGTGAGCGAACAGTGGCGTCAGCATCAGCAGCAGGGGCAGGAGAGGCACCAGAGGTGAGGTCAAAGAGGGAGAGAGCGCCTGCCCTATCGCACTGTAGGAAAAGCTGCAGGTCATCTACCCAGACCTCAAAGTCAATGGCCCGACCCTCAGCGTCTAAAGCGAGGACACTAGGGGTAGCCATGACAGTAGTAGACTAGTAGCGCGAACAGTGGGGTAAGGGCAGTGCAGTGACAGAGGCGCTGCTCTTACCGGACAGGGCGGCTCGGGCGGCTTGGCAGGAAATGTAGCTCGGCGGCTCGGCGACTCGGCGGCTCGGGCGGCTCGGGCGGCTCGGGCGGCTCGGCGGCAACTGCGGCTCGGCGACTCGGCGGCTCGGGCGGCTCGGGCGGCTCGGCGGCAACTGCGGCCCGGCGACTCGGCGGCTCGGGCGGCTCGGGCGGTACGGCGGCTCGGGCGGCTCAGGTGGCGTGGCGGCTCGGGTGGCGCTGGCGGCTCGGCAGTAGCTCGGCGGGGCCGCGTGAAGGCGGGGCCGGGGCCGGGAAGGGCGGGCGACGGGGCCAGCAGAGGCTGGGCCGGGGCCAGGAAGGGCAGTGCCGGGGCCGAGAAGGGCGGCTTCGGGGCCGCAGAGGTAGGCGACGGGGCCAGCAGAGGCTGGGCCGGGTCGGGAAGGGCGGCGTCGGGGCCGAGAAAGGGCGGCGCCGGGGCCGCGGGGTAGGCGACGGGGCCGCAGAGCGGCGGATCGGGGCCGGGAAGGGCGGCGTCGGGGCCGGGAAGGGCGGCGCCGGGGCCGCAGGGCTAGGCGACGGGGCCAGCAGAGGCAGGGCTGGGCCGGGAAGGGCGTCGTCGGGGCCCGGGAAGGGCAGCGCCGGTGGCGCGGGTTAGGCGACGAGGTCGCAGGACGGCTGATCGGGGCCGGGAAGGGCGGCGCCGGGGCCGCAGGAGTAGGCGACACGGCCGTTAGGGCGGCGGATCGGGGCCGCTAGGGCGGCGGGACGCAGCCGCTAGGGCGGCGCGACGGGATGGGGCCGCGAGGGCGATGCGACGGGGCCTCTAGCGCGACGCGACGGGGCCGCTAAGGCGGCGCGAGAGGGTCAAGAGAGGGGAGCGCGACTCGGGCAGGAACTGAGCGCGCTCCGGGCAGGAAAAAAAAATCGAATTGGTGGGCCCTAGGAACAGTTCCCACGAGGGAACCTGCTCGATACCATGATAAAACTAGAACGAGAATGAATGCACTATGAAAGAGTTGGGTACAAGTACTAACCCTAATTGGGTTGTACCCTATATGGGCTACCCCATTACAGCCTACACAAAAGCATAAGCTATAATGTTCTGACAGGACCTCGCCAACGCGATCCGTCAAACCTGACCTCACAAGCTGACGGTATCTTGTTTTACGTGGGGAAATCGAACGGCTCAAGGTGGTTGTCATAATTGACGCTGTTATTGATACAGTCCCAACCTCCTCGCGGAAATCTGTGCGTTCCGTATCCTTGCATGTCCCTAAACCCTCAGTACGGGCAACCGCACACAGCCGATTTATTTTTAAGCGGCGGTATACATTTGGCAGGGCGAGTGCCAAAAGTTTATAAATGGTACATAGTGGTAACCAAATAACAAGCCCACCCAACCTCTCTCTCGAGAAACAAGCGGCCCCCAACTCCTCCCAGCTCGCCCGAATGCCAAAAGTTTATGGATGTCAAAAGTATAATGATTCATTTCCCCCCGCAGAAGCTAACTCCCGTAGCTTTCTTGGCGTTCACTACTAGAAGAATCTTACCTACACCATTGAAGTGCATCTCTTAGGCTTAGGTCATACGCCGACGATAGCACCGGAGCCAGCGTCGCCAAATACGCATTCATTCGTTTGGGAAGCCGCGATGTCGCCACGCGGCTTCGCCGCACTTTCAGTAGATATCTCGTTGCCTCCCTACGCAGCCTAGTGTCGACCACCGTATTGCATAATCCGCTCACCGCAAATCGCCTCCGCATCAAGCCAACAGTAGCGGCCTCGTCCCACCGCAACTTGCTGCCTCGTAGGCTCGCCTCAACGCTCGCGGCGTCGCCGCGCCGCAAATCCCCGCTCGCGGCGTCGACGCACCGCAAATCCCCGCTCGCAGCGTCGACGCACCGCGAATCCCCGCTCGCGGCGTCGCCTCGCCGCAAATCCGGTCGCGGCGTCGCCTCGCCGCAAATCCGGTCGCAGCGTCGCCTCGCCGCAAATCCTCTCGCGGCGTCGCCTCGCCGCAAATCCGCTCGCGGCGTCGCCTCGCCGCGACACGTTGCCTCCTCACGCCACCGCAATCGCGCTGGCCGCGCCAGACACTGCGGGCCCTCTTGCTCCACCCAATATCCCCTTTCCACTGCCCGCTTCCTTTTCCGCCTCCCGATCTCGCCTTACGCCTCTTGTTCTCCCCTTCGGGCCTCCCGTTCTCCCCTTACCGCCTCCCTGCATCCCCGTGTCCCCATAATCTCCCCATCCCAACCCCATTCCACCACATCCCTACCTGCATCTTCCCTTCCCTCCCTTCCCTGCCTTCCCTTCCTTACCTTCCTTACCTTCCTTACCTTCCTTACCTTCCTTACCTTCCTTACCTTCCTTACCTTCCTTACCTTCCTTACCTTCCTTACCTTCCTTTTTCTCCCTTCTATGCCTTCCCTGCCTACCCTCCCTTCACTCCCTTCCCTCGCTTCCCTGCCTTCCCTGCCTTCCCTCCCTTTCATCCCTTCCCTCCCATCCTGTTCTCCCCTTCCCGCATCCCGCCTCCCCATCTCACATTCCCGCCTTCCCATTCCCCTTCTCGCCTCCTCATTTTCCCTTCCTGCCTTCACCTTCTCCTTCCCGCCTCCCCATTTTCCCTTTCCTGCCTTCCCTGCCTTCCCTCCCTTCCATCCCTTCCCTCGCTTCCCTGACTCCATGCCTTCCCTGCCTTCCATCGCTTCCCTCCCATCCCGTTCTTCCCTTCCCGCATCCCCATTTTCCCTTTCTGCCTTCCCATTCCCCTTCCCGCCTCCCCATCTTCCCTCCCTTCTCTCCGTTCCCTCCCTTCTCTCCCTTCTCTCCGTTCCCTCCCTTCCCTCCCTTCTCTCTGCTCCCTCCCTTTCCCTCCCTTCTCTCCCTTCCCCCCCTTCTCTCCCTTCCCGCCCTTCTCTCCCTTCCCTGCCTTCTCTCCCTTCCCTCCCTTCCCTCTCTTCCCTCCCTTCACTCTCCCTTGTCTCCCTTCCCTCCTTTCTCTTCCTTCCCTCCCTTCCCCCCTTCCCTCCGTTCCCTCGGTTCCCTCCTTTCTCTCCCTTCTCTCCCTTCCCTCCCTTCTCTCCCTTCCCTCCCTTCTCTCCCTTTCCTCCCTTCTCTCTCTTCCCTCCCTTCTCTCCCTTCCCTCCCTTCCCTCCCTTCTCTCCCTTCCCTCCCTTCCCTCCCGCCTCCCCATCTTCTCAACCCCTCTTCCCTTCCCCTCCTTGCATCCCCATCTTCCCGCCCTGCATACCTCTCTCCCCTTCCTGCATCCCCATCTCCCCTCCCTGCATCCTCTGTAAACCTTTCCCTGCTTCTCCTCACTTCTCCCCCGCCCCCTCCTGCCTCTCATCATTTTCTCCCCTGCTTCCCCTCATTTCCCTTCCTCACTGTGCCCTCCGCAGGCCTCCCTGCTATACTATTCCCTCTTGTTACCTTCCCTGCCGTCCCCCCTACGATGGAAGCGATCTCAATGTGCTTTTCCTCACATGCCCTCCAAAGCCTGCTTCTCCTCACTTCTCCCCCTCATTCCCCTCACCCTCCCCCCCGACCTGATTCCTCTCATTTCTCCCGCTGATTCCCCTCATCCCCCCCCCCCCCCCCCCCTGATTCCCCTCATATCCCCCCCTGATTCCCCTCATTCCCCCCCCCCCCCCCTGATTCCCCTCATATCCCCCCCTCATTCCCCTCATTCCCCCCCCCCCCTGATTCGCCTCATATCCCCCTCCCCCCCCCCCTTTATTCCCCTCATCCTCCCCCCCGTTAATTCCCCTCATTTCCTCCCCCCTTGATTTCCCTCAGTTCCCCCTGATTCCCATCATTTTCTCCCTGATTCCCCTCATCACAGCCTGTGGTTGAACCATGACCATTTTCTTATTCCCCGCCCTCAGATTCTTTCCCCTTTCCTGACAATTTCAGTGACTGACTGCTCTGAAGATTTCAAGCTTCAACATGCCTCACCCCATCATCTCATGCCAAAGGAGCTAATATTTGTTGCCAAAGGCATAGAGAAAGGGTCAATAGTACGGTATTGCTCCTCTTGGCCTTTGCCTACAGTCCTAAGTTATATGAGAACATGTTTCTTTCCACCCGTATGTGATGTGACACCTGTCAATGCATCTTGGAAGGATAAATTTCACTGCTGAATCGTGGTAGTACGTAGTGGGCTCCTTCATGACGCATATCTCTAGGAATAACTCACTACCATACTTGCATTACAATGCACAATGCACACGGGACAAAACAAAAATGGTAACAAACATCCACTAGCTAGGCATCTGCTTGTACGGTAACTGCTGCCCTCTGTTTCAACACAGCCAACTAGCAGAGTAGGCAAAAACGGTTGTGTAAGGCCCAATGGGAAGGTGCTGTGAGGCAGAAGGGGAGAAGCAACAAAGAAATTTAAGCAAGTGATGGCACTACATGCACAACTTCTAGAGGGAAGACGGTTACGAGTGAGTGAGGGGGGAGAGGAGGGCATGCAAGGGAAGGGAGGGAGGCAGGATGGGAAAGGGGAGGGATGCAGGGAGGGAAAGGAGGGGATTCAGGGGGGGAAAGGAGGAGATGCCGTGGGTAAAGGAGAGGATTCAGGGAGGGAAAGAAGGGGATGGAGTGCAGGGGGAGAAAGGAGGGGATGCAGGGGGAGAAAGGAGGGGATGCAGGGGGAGAAAGGAGGGGATGCAGGGGGAGAAAGGAGGGGATGCAGGGGGAGAAAGGAGGGGATGCAGGGGGAGAAAGGAGGGGATGCAGGGGGAGAAAGGAGGGGATGCAGGGGGAGAAAGGAGGGGATGCAGGGGGAGAAAGGAGGGGATGCAGGGGGAGAAAGGAGGGGATGCAGGGGGAGAAAGGAGGGGATGCAGGGGGGAAACGAGGGGATGCAGGGAGGGAAAGGAGGGGATGCAGGGAGGGAAAGGAGGGGATGCAGGGAGGGAAAGGAGGGGATGCAGGGAGGGAAAGGAGGGGATGCAGGGAGGGAAAGGAGGGGATGCAGGGAGGGAAAGGAGGGGATGCAGGGAGGGAAAGGAGGGGATGCAGGGAGGGAAAGGAGGGGATGCAGGGAGGGAAAGGAGGGGATGCAGGGAGGGAAAGGAGGGGATGCAGGGAGGGAAAGGAGGGGATGCAGGGAGGGAAAGGAGGGGATGCAGGGAGGGAAAGGAGGGGATGCAGGGAGGGAAAGGAGGGGATGCAGGGAGGGAAAGGAGGGGATGCAGGGAGGGAAAGGAGGGGATTCAGGGAGGGAAATGAGGGGATGCAGGGGCGGAAAGGAAGGAATGCAGGGAGGTGCGTGCATGCCGGCGGAAAAGGGAGTGCGTGCGGGGCTAGTGAATGCGCATGGGAGGAGCGAGTGCGCGCGGGGGGAGCGAGTGCGCGGGGGGAGCGAATGGAGCGAGTGCGTGCGGGGGGAGCGAATGCGCGGTGGGGGAGCGAGTGCGTGCGGGGGGAGCGAATGCGCGGTGCAGGAGCGAGTGCGCGCGGAGCGAATGCGCGCTGGGGAGCGAGTGCGCGCGGAGGGAGCGAGTGCGCGCGGGGAAAGCGAGTGAGCGAGGGGGGATTGAGTGCGCGCGGGGGGAGCGAGTGCGCGCGGGGGGAGCGAGTGTGCGCGGGGGGAGCGAGTGCGCGCGGGGGGAGCGATTGCTCACGGGGGGAGCGATTGCGCGCGAGGGGAGCGAATGCGCGCTGGGGGAGTGAGTGTGCGCTGGGGGAGTGAGTGTGCGCTGGGGGAGTGAGTGCGCGCGGGAGGAAAGGGAGGAGGAGGGAGTGGGGCGGAAGGGACGGCGGTAGGCAAAGAGACACGTCCACAGCGCATATCACGCAGCGGAATGCTCGCCGTGGGTTCTCAGAAAAGTGGACGGCGGGCTAGCCGAATGCAATTCAACAGACCGCTGCATGGTTTTCCTGCAGGCTCGGCGATAGGGGAAATGGCTATCTCGCCGGAACGCTCTAAGAAACGGGGACGGCGGCCTCGACAAAAGCAATTTTGCGGGAATGCTTTCTACGGCGAAAGGGGAAAGGCGATTTCCCCGATTGCTTGTCGACGGACCCGCGGAATGTTCGACGGCGCGCCCAACTATAAGGGGGACGACGTGCTCGCCGAATGCAACGTGGCGGCCTGGATTGGGTAGATTGCGGTCGCCTAATGAACCCTAATATTTAGTTTATGCGAACTCACGAGATGGTTTAGTTGTCGTGGTGACTAATAGAAGCTAATTAGCTAATTCAGACCCTGGCACCAATGCTTAGTGTCTGGTGACGAGTGCGTGCCTCTCTTTTGTGCAGACACAATTCTCTCCAAGTGGTGGAGGGGCTCGGACTTTTCGCCAAACCTCTCGTCAAGCTGTTTCGCTTTCGCTAGGGCGAAATCGTTCTAGGTACTGTAGTCATCCTAACAGTACTGCCAAATGTATACTGCTGCTTTAAGCAGACGTTGATCTCTCACCTTATCACGCAGCCATCCATAGATCAATCGGATCTTTTGAGATGTTTCGCAATTGTTACCACATGCCAAATTAAGTCACGCTTTAGTGAAGTTGGCACGCATATGTTCAGGGCTGACTTTTCATTTTAGGCCTCCTTGATTCCGGGGAAAATTTCCCCCCTCGATTATGGGTGCACAATTTCCAGAAAAACAGCACCCTGATTGCTCAGGGTTGTAAAGTAGTTAAAGCTCGCGGCCCAAATTGTTCAACCTTAGTAAGGTTTACCTTAGGGTGGCGGGAGAAGAAAGTTGACTTGTTGGAAGTTGGGTTGTTTGCTTTCGCTCAGTTTCGCGCTAGACCCTTGGGGTTTTTGTTGACGCGGCAAACCCCTGGGAGCAACCCGGGTTTGCTTTGAGAGTCTCAAATTGCACTCAACGTATTGTTGTTATTCCCTACTCTCCCATTCGACAAAAAATATCTGGCCAATCAGATTGCATCTCACTTCTCGTAACCACCCTTCTGTTAGAATAGTAGCTAGTAGAGACTAGGCAGGTGGCAGGTGCTGGCGCTCATCGCTGGCCGATCGCGGGGCAACCCGGGGGGGGGGGGGGGGGGGGGGGATGTGAGCCGAGGTCGACGGGAAGGGGGGGCGCCGTGGTCGACGGGAACCAGGGCTCTGCGGCGACGGGAAGCGGGGTGCCGTGGTGGCGGAACGCGTGGTGCCGCGGCGACGGGAATCAGGGGCGCCGCGGCGACGGAAATCGGGACGGGGAGGCGCTTCGGACGCGACCGGACAGAGCGCGACGAGTATGATAGAAATTGGGATGCGCAGGCGCCTCGAGCGCGACCAGCGACAAAATAAAAGTAGCGCATTTCGCGCTCTATGGGTGGGCCCATGTTCCGTGAAGAAAAAGGTAGGTCCTTAGACCGTTTTACTGCTCTGAACCATGTTAGAATAGTAGCTAGTGGAGACTAGGGTTTGTGAGAGAGAGTTGGCCAAAGAGGGTTGCACTATAGGATGAGAAAACAATGTATAGGACAGAGGAGGTGGTGAAGGGAGGTAGACCACCTAAGACAAGACGGGTTGACTACACTAACTAACTAAACATGCAATTATATAAGAATATTACATTCTGACACCTTCGCAACCCAAACAGCACTCAAAACATCACCCACGTCAACCTTAGTAAGCTTGGACAGCGCGCCCCGCAATTTGGGCCGCGAGCTTTAACTCTGATTGTTCAGGGTCGAGAATTGAACATCAGAGTATGCTTTTTTTTTGGAAAGTGTGTAACACTTTCTAAAATGGGTATTGTGAAAGCGCAGCTGACTGTAGCGCAGCAAGGCTACTGCGAATTACCATTCCCCGAGTACATAACGAGGGTTGGAGGCCATTTAGCCTCCACCCACGTCTTCATGCGAAACTTTGTAGTTACAGTCCCCACCCACCCACCCTGGTCATATACGGTACATGTATGATTAATAGTTGGACGAGAATGCTGTAATTACCCCAATTCTAATGAAGCACGTTGCTATTGCAAGAACAGAAAGCAAGCTTTCTCACTAGTAACGAGCTCTTTGTTACCGAGGGAAAAATGTATGCTCTCCATAAATTATGCGCGCTGTGTTTCGCGCTGCGGGGAGTGGAGATAGGAGGCGACGAGTGGAGCCGCAGACACACGGGCAACAGGAACGACGCACACGGTGGCTACCGGAGCAAGGGCCCCGGAGTATAGAAGCAACTGGCTCCGCGGCTAAGACTAGCGGCAGGAGCAACATACCCACGGGCGACTGGCGCAGCAGGCTCGCTAGGCTACCGGAGCAAGGGCCCCGGACTACTGGCGCTGCTGACGTTACGACGGCTACCTCCGCTCAACCTCCCCCAAGTGTCTCACACCCCTTTCACACACCCCCTGCTGCACCCCTAGCTCCACTCTCACGACACCCCCCTAGCGCCACTCCCTCGGCTCCCACACACCCACCCTCCTCAGCGGCAGCTGCAGTAGTGGGAGAGAGAGGAGGAGGAGGAGCATGGGAGGCCTCACACACCCGTCACCCCTATACTCGCCACCCCCACACTAGCCACCCGCGGGGAGGAAGAAGCCTTGCGGCGCACGAGGGCACGGGGCGGCGCAACAGGAGCACAAGGAGCGCGCGCGGGTCCCAAGGGCAGCGCGACGGGAGCGCAGGGGGCGCGTGCGGGCCCCCAGGGCGGCGCGACGGGATGGCGGGGGTCGCGCGCGGATCCCTAAGGAGACGCGACGGAATCGCAAGGGGCGCGCGCGGGTCCCGAGGGGCGACGCGTCGGTCGATGGGGAGGAAGCGCGGGTCCCCGGGGGTAGCGGAACAGTCGACGGGGGGGACGCGCGGGTCCCCGGGGTGACGCGCGAGGCAGTAAACCGCCATGCGCCACGAACGCGTAGTGGGAAGAAAAAACGTCGCGCGCCACGGGGCGCGCGACAGATAGGAAAGCAGCGGAAGCAAGTGGGCCCACAGGCCAGGAGCGTACTTGCTCCGATAGCATGTTGAAGTCCTAGCTACAGCTTAGTAGCCATGGCTAGGGTTTAGGTTTTACGTGTCAAATTATAATATTGTGTAGGCTATAGTGGGGTAGCCCATATGGGGTACACATTTCTAGGGTTGCATATTTGTATCACTTCCATTCCTTAGTCATTCATTCTCGTTCTAAGTTTCTCATGGTATCGAGCAGGTTCCCTCAAGGGAACTGTGCCTAGGGCCCACCACATCGAACCTTTTTTTTTTTTCCTGCCCGAAGCGCGCTCCCCGAGTCGCGCTCCCCTCTCTGCATTCGTCGAGCCGCCCTAGCGGCCTCCCTTGCGGCCCCGCCGCCCTCACTTGCGGCCCCGCCGCCTTCAGTTGCGGCCCCGCCACCCTCACTTGCGGCCCGTCGCCGCCCTCGGTTGCGGCCCCGTCACCGCCCTCACCTGTGGCCCCGTCGCCGCCCTCACCTGCGGCCCGTCGCCGCCCTCAATTGCGGCCCCGCCGCCCTCACTTGCGGCCCCGTCGCCCTCTGTTGCGGCCCCGCCGCCCTCACCTGCGGCCCCACCGCCGCCCTCAGCTGCGGCCCCGTCGCCGCTCTCACCTGCGGCCCGTCGCCGCCCTCAGCTGCGGCCCCGTCGCTGCCCTCATCTGCGGCCCGTCGCCGCTCTCCCCTGCGGCCCCGACGCCGCCCTCAGCTACGGCCCCGTCGCCGCCCTCACCTGCGGCCTCGCCGCCCTCATTTGCGGCCCCGCCGCCCTCACCTGCGGCCCCGCCGCCCTCCGTTGCGGCCCCGCCGCCTTCACCTCCGGCCCTGCCACCCTCAATTGCGGCCCCGCCGCCCTCACCTGCGGCCCTGCCGCCCCCAGCTGCGGCCCCGCCGCCCTCACCTGCGGCCCCGCCGCCTTCAGTTGCGGCCCGTCCCCACCCTCACCTGCGGCCCGCCGCTCTCACTTGCGGCTCCGCCGCCTTCAGTTGCGGCCCCGCCGCCTTCAACTACTGCAGCGCCGCCCGCCGCCCAAGCCGGCCGAGCCGCCCCTGCCAACCGAGCCGCCGACCGCCGCGCCGCCCTGCAGCAGCACAACCGAGCCGCCCAGCAGCAGAGCAGCCGAGCCGCCGAGCCGCCGGGTCGCCCTGCAGCCGAGCCGCCCAGCCGCCGTGCAGCCGAGCCGCCGAGCTGCCAAGCCGCCCTACCGCTGAGCCGCCCGAGCAGCCCTGTCCGGTGAGCACAGCCCCTGTGTCACTGCACTGCCCTCCCCCTACTGCTTGCACTACTGGTCTACTGTTGTCATGGCTACCCCTAGTGTCCTCGCTTTTGACGCTGAGGGTCGAGCCATTGACTTTGAGGTCTGGGTCGACGACCTGCAGCTGTTCTTACAGTGCGATAGGGCAGACGGTCTCTCTCTCTTTGACCTCACCTCTGGCGCCTCTCCTGCCCCTGCTACTGATGGTGACCCCACTGTTCGCTCCCAGTGGGCCACGCGCGATGCTGCTGCACGTCTTGCTGTGCGTCGCCACCTGCCTACCACTGAGCGCGCGCAATTTAGTCAATACAAGAGTGCTCAGACCTTGTACGACGCTGTAGTTGCGCGCTAATCTTACCCTGCCACTGCTGCACCGAGCCGCCTCATGCTACCGTACCTCTTCCCTGACCTTGCTGCCTTTCCCATAGTCGCTGACCTCATTACGCACCTCCGCACTAGTGACACTCGCTACCGCGCCGCGCTTCCTGCTGAGTTCTGCGCCAAGAACCCCCCCCCCCCCATGTACATCACTCTCTATTATATAGTCACCCGCCTCCCTGACTCCCTTCGCGTAGTCAGGGACCACTTCCTCTCAGTCTGTCCCACCACTCTCACTGTTGACCTCATTGAGAAGGCCCTCCTAGCAG